GCTCAATCCACTGAGCTACACCAGCCAGGGCTATTTATTTATTTTTAGAGAGAGGAAAAGGGAGGAAGAAAGGGAGAGGTAGAAATATCGATGTGTGAGAGGTATACATCGATTGGCTGCTTCTCATGCGCCCCCACCTGGGGACCACAACCAAGTCATGTGCCCTGACTGGGAATCGAACCAGCAACTTTTCGGTTTGCAGGCTGGCACTCAATCCACTGAGCAACACCAGCCAGGGCTCGATAAGGTTTTTGATTATTATTTGTAACCAGAGATTATTTTTACAATTGAAATAACATTCAGGGTAAACAAAACATTGCTACATACTGATATTTAATGAAAAGTTGCTTTGAAAAGGTCAGAATGCCCTGATGATAAAAGATTTCTTAACAACAACAAAAAACCTAAACGACCACACAAAGAGAACCCCAAGTTCAGTTCAAACTTGTATTGGTTGGTGATGGTAGGGCTGGGAAAACTACATTCATGAACTGTCATCTGGCTGGTGAATTTGAGAAGCATGTAGCCACCCCGGGTGTTGAGGTCCATCACTCAAGTGGCCAGAAGCTCGGTGGCTGGGAGACAACTGTTCACATTCAGGCCCGGTGTACCACTGATAATGTTTGATGTAACTTCAAGAGTCACTTACAAGAAAGTGCCTAACTGTCACAGAGATCTGGATGAGTGTGTGAAAACATTCGTACCTTAATATCCACTTTTGTTGTGTGGCAACAAAGTGGATATTAAGGACAGGAAAGCTAAGGCAAAATCTATTGTCTGCCCCTGAGGGAAGAATCTTCAGTACTACAACATCTCTGTCAGAAGTTAACTACAACTTTTCCCTGGCTGGTGTGGCTCAGCGGATTGAGTGCCAGCCTATGAACCAACAGGTTGCCAATTTAATTCCCAGTCAGAACACATGGCTGGTTTGCGGGCCAGGTCCTCAGTTAGGGGCGTACAAGAGGCAACTGATCGATGCATCTCTTGCACATTGATGTTTTTCTCCCTTCCACTCTCTCAAACAATAAATAAATAAAATGGTTTTTAAAAAATGTGTCTTTAACAAAAGTAACTACAACTTTGAAAAGCCCTTCCTCCGGCTTGCTAGAAAACTAATTGGAGACCCTAACTTGAAGATTGTCACCATGCCTACTCTTGGCCCCATCAGAGATCATGGTGGACCCAGCTCTGGCAGCGCAGTGTGATCATGGTCTAGAGGTTGCTCAGACCACCACTCTCCCAGGTGGGGATGAGGGCCTGTGAGAAAGGGAAGCTGGAGCCCAGCATCAGAAGTCAGTTTTATAGGCAACTGTCCTGTGATGTTGTCTAGTGGTCAGAGTGTTTGCCACTGTATTATATAGCTAAGCAGAACCTGTGCTTGATCTTTGGGATGCTGAAAGAGATGAATGGGCTTTGGAGTGAATGAGGCAGTTTAAAAATACCTCCATTTTTTGGACCCGCATATTTAGCTGCTCTTAAAAAAGCAGGAATGCGGCTGCTTCCTTATTGAGTTTCAACTATGAGACTGCTGCTGCCGCATCACAATACTCAGTAGCAAAACCTTGTCTGTTACTGTCATTCCTGTTTCTTTTTCTTTAGAATCAGAATCAAGTGACATTTTTTTTTAAAAAGGCAGCACATGAGTAAGTTCCATAAGTGGGGACATGAAGATGACTTTGGATGAGGAAGGAAAAAAAGGTCTTTCCAGAGGGTATCCAGCCATGTAATATTGAAAATAGATTTATTGAAGAAGATACAAGAAACGTTGTACATAGGACAATGATGCCTCAGTCCCCTTCCAAATAGGCCCCTTGGGACCTCACACATTATCTCCCAGTCCCCATCAGCTGCCCTGTTGTATTTTCCTGAGTCTCATCGATGGTCTGAAATCTCTTCCCTTTCAAAGGTGATACTAGTTTTGGGAAAAGCCATAAGTTGCACAGTGCAATTTTTGGCTGTAGGCAGGCTGCGTCCCCTGGGTGGTTTGATGTTTTGCAAAAAGATTCTGTATGAGATGAGATGCATGAATAGGCACATTGTTGTAATGAACCTGCCAATCATCAGTTGCCCGTAGCTGTGGCCTTCTGAATCATCCCAATAGTTTCTGCAGAGGAATGTTCAAGCTTAATGCAAGATCCGATGCACATTTGTTGCTCTCTCTGCTCTCAGTCATTTTGAATGCAATAGCCACACAGTACACATGCTGACTCAACAGCATCTACCGCCCCCACTGACTAGTGCAGTGAAGTCGTCACTGTTCATGCATGTGCATGCCAGTCCACTCTCCTTGGCTGCCAGGTTACATGGATGTCTCACAAACCATTCTCGTTATATCAATAATGGCTGGACTTTTTCTGGACAGACCTCATATTTCACTGATGAAGTGTTAAGCAGTTATTTGACTGTTCATGTCTTTGTTAATCCATTCTTGAGTGTAGAGACATCATTTGCAGGACCCAGTACAAATTGAAAATGCTCAAAAAGTATGAAGAATTTCAAGATGACAGTAGCAGAGTATTTGCCGAGTGTAGCGTGTCCTCTGCATGGCCTGTTACACTAAGGCAGAGACTTGAAGAAACTGTCTCTGTCAGTACCTGGGCCTGAGGCCTAAGGTTGTCTGTTTGTATAGTTCCTATTCCTCCCTTTCAAAATTACTCACATTTTTCCACACTCCAGGTGCTCCTTTCTTCTACTTCTAGATTCCATTCATAGCTGCCTTGTCTGCCTCCTTGGAGGAAGGGAGGCTGGAGTTGGAAATGCTGCTCTGCCATTGGCTGGTGAGCCTTTCCCAGGTCTCGGCCTCTGAGGACTCCCGTTTCCCACCGAATCCTTCTTCTTGTGAACCTGTTAGGAAGTGACGCTCCTGGCAGGGAGCAAGGACTCAGCAAATGTTGATTGGATCCCTTTTCTCTCCATTAGCAGAGAAAAATAGAAGAGTGGACTTTATTTTTAGATTTTTAACTTCCTTTTTTATGTATTTGTGCTTAGGAATTGGTCTTCGGTGTATGTATTGGGTGTGGAATTGATGCTCTAGTCAGAGCCTCCTGGGAGCCTCTGGGACAGGGCAGGGCAGGCAGGGGTTTGGGGTGTAGCCCTGTTGCCTGGAAAGCCAACCCCCTGGAGGAGCTGCTGGAGAACAGGAGGGAGGGTTAGATTATAGGCTTCTCAGTACGCTTCCAGGAAGGCAAACGACTTACTGTTGTAAAGATGGGAAAAATCAAGGAACTCTCCCGATCAGAGTCCACCCGTCCTCTGCAAGAGCTGCTGTTCTCAAGAGGAAAGAGGCATAAGAAGAATTCCTGAGTCTGGAGAAGGCTGCTGGGTTCAAGTCCCAATCCCATTACTATAGCAGGGAGACCCTGGACAGGTCAGTTTACTTCCTGTGCCAGCATGTCCACCCCTGAAATGGGGTTAGAACAGCACCACCTCAGAGAGCTGAAGAGAGTGACCTCTGGAAAGGGGCCTGCGTGCATGACAGCACTTGGGAGGCCATGTCAGTATTTCATTTTAAAAATAAGATTAGCTCTGGCTGGGTAAGTCAGTTGGTTAGAGCATCTTCCTCATATGCCTGAGGTTGTGAGATCCTCGGCGAATGCGTAAGTGGAACAACAAATCGGTCTCTCTCTCTCTCTTTCTTCATCTCTCCCTCTCTCCCTCCCTCCCCCTTACTTTTTTTCCTCCAAAATCAATAAATTTAAAACTATTAAAATGGTTCTGAAAGGAAGCTCTTATTGGCTGAATTGTATCCCTAAAAATTCATATGTTGAAGTCCTAGCCCCCAGGATTTTAGAATGTGACTGCTTGGAAGTAGGGCCTTTAAAGGGGTAATTAAGTTAAAAATGAGGCTGGTAGGGTGGGTTCTAAAGCAGCATGAGGGGAAATAATAAAACAAGACACATATGCCCAGAGGGATGACCATGGGAAGACATAGGAAGAGGACAGCTGTCTGCAAGGCGAGGAGGAAAGAGGCCTCAGGAGAAACCAGCGCAGAGCAGGCCTTCCGGCGCACACTTCACTACAGAGAGCGACGGGGGTCCTCTGCGGCGTCTCTGCCCGCCTCGAGGCGGCCCCCACTGTCCCTGCTCTTGCAAGTATCTTGGCAATCATCAGGTGCCTTCCAGCTGCCTGTTAGCATCTAGCTGCTGATCTTTCCTTGAAGGTTTGTGGTTCCAGTAGAAATGGCTGAAGGTCTTTTTCATTGTAAACCAGGAAAACTCAGAACTACGAGTCGCAGAGTGCAGAGGGCTGAACATTTATTAAGCACTTAGTGCATGCCAGGTGTTTCACTGGACCTATTATTTAGGCTCCAAGACAAGCTGTTAAGCAGCTCAGGAGAAATCCTTTCCCAATCCACCTTTGGAGCCAGTGCTCCGCTGCTGCCCTTTGACCTCTTTTTCTCCTTCCTTCTTTGCCACTTTCTCTCATTTTCTACAATCCTGGTCAACTCTATAACATTTTGAGCATTTCCTGTTTCTTAAACATCCTTCCAGCCCTATTTTCCTGTTTGTCACACCTTCTCTCTCCTCACCAGAGGATGAGAAAGACCTGGCCCCTCACCCTTGAATTCCGGAACTCCAAAATGCTCTCTTCCAAGTCCAGGCAGCTGCCCTTCCCACACATCCGCATGGTCACCCTTGACCATCTCACCTCGTGCCCTGACCCTAGCTTGAAAAACAGTATCTGCCACCCCGATCTGGCTCTCCAGTTCTGATTTGCGAGTGAAAGGGATATTCAGAATTCCTTAGTGGGTGACAGGGGTGACAGCCTCTGGACCCAGAGTGCTTTATGCTTAAATCCCAGCTCTGCCACTGGCCTGCTGTGTGACTTTGGACCAGCTGCTTAACCTCTTGTACCCGTCTCCTCGCCTGTAGGAGAGGATGAAGCCTTATGGGTGTCATGTCAGTGGCATGCCCGCGTCAGTCCACAGGAAGGGCGGGCTGTTATTGGACCCGTAAGAAGCTCTGGGAGGACTTCCTTTCAGAAGAGACAGCATGTTCATTTGGTTAAAGCAGTAAGTAACTCACATGGCTTCTATAGCTCCCAGTTTTCTAAAACGTGGGCTCCAAAGATGCCCTCCCTCACTGACTGTACACACGTGGGGAGGAAACCTCGCCAGCTGGGGCCAGCTGGCTGGCTGGCTGGCATCACTGCTCTGCACTTGCCTTGGCATCTTTCTGCCTGAGCCACTCACCCTGGGAAGCATTTTCTTTATCAAGGGTACGTGAACCAGCTCACCTGCCTTCAAGCACATGCACCCATTGTTCGGTACACAGCCTGCCTGGGCAGATGGATCCAGGGCCTGGTTCAGGCAGTCTGGGTAAATAAATAGGAAGCTGCTTGCCTCTTGGGGTTAACAGTGCTCATTAAGTTTGTGCTAAAGAGAACAGATTTCTTTCCAAGGGTGGGAAAAAGCCATGCCTGTGAGATTAGCCCTAGGGAAGGATTAAAGAAAAAAAAAAAGGTCTGTTTTAGATTAAGCCTTGCTGTGTTCCCTGTTGAGTATCCTTTATTCTAGTGATGTTTGTTGAACGTCTAACCCAGATCAAGTTGGGCACATGGCATGCGCAGGGTGCTACAATATGGTGGGAGTCTGTGGGAGAAAGTGGCCTTGTGCTCAATGCCAAGGATTATGGGCTTGGACTTGAGACTGCAGGGACAGACAACCTTGTCCCAGGTTGGAACAGTGTGGAGGGGTGCTGAGCGGGTAGTGGAGCTGCATTGGGGGTGCAGTTTGGAAGACAAATTGAAGATGGAAATTGTGAGTGTGAACTAAGGTAGCAACCCTGAGGATCAAGATGAAGAGTCTGGTCTGAAAGACTCAGAGGTGAATTGACTAGACATGGGTATCGGGAATGCAGGGGTTTCTAGCAGTAACTATTGGGCCATTCTCCCGCTGATGCAGTGGGTCTGTGATGAAGTTCCAGAGTTTGTGAACAAAGCAGAATATACACGTGGAGCTATCCCTAATAACTCCTGAAGTCACCCATGAGACAACAGAACCAGCTCTCCAAGGCCAGTACAAGCTTTTCTTCCAGCGCTGGGCTAGGTGGCTATTTCTGTGGCACCAATGGGTTTATGTCCACATATTAGAATCACATGTGGAATATTAGAATTACGTATGGAATAGTGATTCTTTTTTTTAAAGATTTTATTTATTTATTTTTAGAGAGGGGAAGGGAGGAAGAAAGAGAGGGAGAGAAACATCAATGTGTAGTTGCCTCTCACATGCCCCCCACTGGGGACCTGGCTCGCAACCCAAGCATGTGCCCTGACTGGGAATCGAACAAGTGACCCTTTGGTGTACAGCCTGCACTCAGTCCACTGAGCTACGCCAGACAGCGCAGGCATGGTGATTCTTAAGCTCTAGGTCTCAGAACCCTTTCACATTCTTCAAAATTATTGAAGACCCCGAAGAGCTATAATTTATGTGGAGTGCATTTATCTAATATTTACCTATATTAGAAATTTAAGTGGATATATTTTTAAAGGATTTATTAAATTTATTTAAAATTATCATTAATGAACCCATCACATATTAATATCTCTGTGAAAAATAACTCTTTTCTGAAACAAAGTTTTCGTGAGTTGAGTACATTTTTGTGAATCTCCCTCGTTGAGATTAGCCGCTGGGCTCTCCTGCCTGCTTCTGCCTGTGCTGCTGTGGTGACTGTGGTCGCCCCCACTGTGTTTACACTTTCGGTATGTGTGCCAACCAGTGCGAAGTGTTCTTAAGCACAGCCCCTGGAGAGGTGTCTGAAGACAGCCTGTGACATCCCCTGGCATAGGGTGCTGGGTCTGCGAGGAGAGGTGATGGAGCCGCAGGACGGCAGGCCGCCCCTCACCCACGGGTGCTAGGGAGGGTCCTGGGGGAAGCAGGCCATCCCCACTTCCATGCTCAGTGGAGGAATGGCAGCAGGATCAGGGCCCTGACTGTCCTCAATCTCAGCCTCTCTTTTTGGCCATCTCAAAACAGTGACATTTCAGAAGGTAAAATGCAGATTTCACAGAAGAGTCACTGTGATTCTGCCCTTTGCCTTCAGGCCTCTCATCTGAGTTACCCACAAAGGTGTCACTGTGTGTTCTGGGGGAGGAAATGGCAGCTGGTGTTCTGAGCTGGACAAGCAAAACTGGAGTGGCTAAGGACCAGCTGCGGTCGGTCCTTACAGGAAGAACCAAGGAGACAGACGAGAGGCACCCGAGGGACCCAGGTGTGGGGAAGGGGAGGTGAGGAGCGCTCCCGTGCTCTTGGACGCTCTGAGGGAGAGCAGGCTGTGAGCCCGGGGGTGGGGGTGGCACCGCTCCGTGTGCTGGAGAGGCAGCCTCCAACTCCTCTACCTGATGCCCAGAGATGGTACAACTCACCCAACAAGAGGGACTTTGTCTGAATTCCTGCCCCTCGCCTCTCTTGCCCTTCATACACTTCATACACTTCAGCTCCATCCGGAGCTCTGCTGGCACCTATGGGTGCCCTGGGCTGGTGCCAGACTGCCTCTCAGGCAGCTCATGGGCTGGGCCTGGGAGGCAGGGAGCAAAGAGTTACTTCAGCCAGAACTTGGTGATCAAGACATGGACAGATTCTATGAGGAGTTAAGGCTGAGGGTTTGTTTGAAGTTAGCGATTATATTTTATATTCACTATTCTAGGTGTCTGATTTTACTTTTATGTTTAATTGGTGCTTTCCTCATAGCCAAAATAGGGGTCAGCATGATTTCTTTTTTAGACATGAAGAACCCAAGTCTTCGTAATGGAATTGGCTCAATCCTGATAGACTCATAGCACCGGAATCAGAGCACCTCCCTTCTGGATCTGGCCAGGACACCCTTGTCTGCTGGAGAGGGCGGGTGATGCCCACGCTCTGCGTCAGATCTAGCCTCTCTCTGAGTTCCTCTGAGTCTTGGCAGCCGAGTGCTCTCCCTGGAATGTTCCACCATCCACAAGGTGACGAAGGCCTGGAAAGTTTTGTTCCAATGAACTTTGCCAGGGAGCTATACTTAGCTATCAAGTGGGGCCAAGAGTGGGTTCTCTGAATATAGATAGTAACAAGTGGGCTATTTTCAAACTTCCAGAGAACCCCCAAATGTTCAGGGCCAAAATGATATTTATAGAGCCCTTTGGGATCTGGAAGGGAAAACATAACCTTTGTGTGTCTGTAGTTTCAAGAGAGAGGTTTCTTTCAACAGAATGGGTTGAGGGGCCCAGCCACTGAGAGACTGGGTGTCCCTCCCACAGCTGTTTCCGGGGCTGAGCTCACGGAGGCCAGGCACTTGTGTCTGTGAGTGAGAAAAGAGGCGAAGCTTGTCGTGCCCAGTAATTTTCTTTCCTGTGCACACCGGTGCCATCCTGGGAGCACTTTCTGTGCTGGGAAGATGCTGTCCCCAAACTCGGAGAGCCCATTATATGGTTTTTCTCTTGTCCAGAATCCTCTTGATTTCTTAGGCTCCTGCTTTTGCCCAAACTTAATCAAGCTGCTGTCAAAAGACCTGATTCCAACTCCATAGGTACCAGACTCCCACCCTAGAGAGAGGCCCCAACAATGTGCCTGGAGTAGTGTGACAAAAAGGCTCTCTTTGGGTAGAAGAGTGGGAATGTGATGAGTAAAGATTTGAGTAGGAGGGTGGCCAATAGCAGTCATCCGAGAAGAGAGCTGGTCATGCCAGCATCACCTGGGGATGAATGTGAACAAGCCTTAGACACCTTTCTGATTCTCATTGTGGAAGTGTGGAGAGAGGGCCCCAGAAACCCAAATGTTAAATGGGTGTCTGGATTAATTCTAGTGATCAGGCTAACTAATAAAGAAAGGCGGGTCAGAGTGGGAGGCTATAAGCCCCAAGTGTTCAGGAGGCAGCGTGGCCCGTGGGGGAAAGTGGCCTCGCAGCCTGGCTGTTGCCAACTAGCTTTGAGTGGGACATCCCCCCATTCATTCCGCGTCAGTTTCTTGGCAGGTTCTCGGGCCTTTCCTCACCCCTCTGCCAACTGATGCTCCACTACCCTGCCCTACACAGCCCAGATATAAATATAAGAGCATTTTCCATGGGCCAGTACAGAAGGGCAAACATTTGACTTTATTTTAGGACTGTGAAATTCTCTTCCTTCATACCCAACAGGTGCACTGCTTCATTTAGATATTGGTACCCAGAAATAGAACACAATTTACAATATAGCTTCCTTCAGGCATCTGTGTGCTATTAAAAAAAAAAAAAAAAGAGCCTCCTGCTAGCTGGCCAGGCACAGCACAAATGCTGGCTGGAGCGTTCACCTTTGCCAGGCTTGGGGAGAGGCACCCACCTGCAGGCAGCTTGACCCCCTCAGCAGAGGAGCCAGGCACCTCGAGAGACAGTTTGGGGGCAGGATCATCCTTTCAGGAAATGGGCCTGTCCTCAGCCACACAGGACCCGCTGGCACGGTGGAGAGGAGGGGCACAGACACAGACACTAGAGAGGGGCCAGGCACTGAGCAGGAGGACTCAGACCAGCAGAGGAGGTGTTTCTAGTGACTCTGTCAGCAGTGAGACTCCACTGACCCCTTGGTGCTTTGTGGGCTGGGGGAGAATAGGATGTGGCTCTCCGCACTTTAAGCCCAAGCACGGGACCCACCCAGCATCTCTCGGCAAATCGTGTGTTCTCACCAGCTGTTGGGGGGTGGTGAATAGTGTTCCTTCAACTTATATGTTGATGTCTTAACCCCCAAGTACCTCAAAATGTGGCCTTATTTGGAAATAGGGAAACTGCAGCTGTAGTGAAGATGAAATCATTATAAGGTGCGTCCTAACCAGACATACCGGGTTTCCTTACACAAAGGGGAAATTTGGACACAGGCAGACATGCACACAGGGAGGACACCGTGTGTAGATGGAGGCACTGATGGGGTGACGCTTCTACAAGCCCAGGAACATCGAAGGCTGCCAGCAGACCAGCAGGACCGGGAGAGAGGCCTGGGCAGGCTCTCCTCACAGCACCAGAAGGAACCAGCCCAGCCGGCTCCTTGGTCTTGGACTTCTAGCCTCCAGGACTGTGAAAGAATAAATTTCTGCTGTTTAAGCTGCCCAGTGTGTGGGACTTTGTTACAGCAGCAAACTAATACATTACCTAAATTCCTAGTCTCGGAAGCGTCTGCATTCCAGTGACTGAGATGGTCTGGAATAGGTCAGGCAGGAGCCTCTCCTGGGTGGTCTGCTTCATCAAGGTCACCTTGGTCCAAAGAAGCCCAAGACCAAGGTCAAGTTTCCTCTGGGATGCCCCAAGGCCCCTCCAATGGCTGTCATTAAACCAGCCACCCAGGTCCCTTTATTCTCTGAGGAGCAATAGGCAGAATCTACAATGGGGGTCACCAGGGATGGAACAGCAGCAGAGGTGGCTGCAGAGTAAGATACTTGGCACCCAGTGTGGTCCTGATAAATGCTCCCCATTGTTCTCACGTGCAGAGGAGGCTCGGTGTCTGGTGGCTCAGGGCCGAGAGGGACACCTCTGCAGCTTGCTGTGTGGCTCTGTCCCAGGGCCAGAACCAAGGATCCTAACTCACCCTTGGCTGGGACCAGAAGTGGAGCTTCTGACAGCACAGGCTGCCCTTCCCGCAGAGAGGAGCAGGTGTCCCCTCCCAATGTCAAGGGCTCAGTCAGTCTCCATTAGGCTCAGGCCTCTTTTTTCGATCCCGGATGCCACCCTCCCTGAAGGGTCCTGCTGGAGATGGTTAAGACACACTGGCAAGAGGCGGGACCAGTCCAACAGGTGACCACCCAGGAGCCTGGGGGTGAGAGGAGGCCCCCTGTGAGGATATGATGCCACCAATGCTGGTACATCATGGACACTGAGGAGGTGGGTGGAGGGCAGGTGCTTAAGTGTTGGCATGTGAGTTGGTTTGGCGAGGCATGTGTGTCTTGGGTGGGGTCAAAGTTCTGGGCCACTCAGTTCATAGATGCCTGCGGCCTCGAGAGACACATGCTGAAAAAAGGCAACAGTACTGTGGGCAGACATGGAGATGTGGCCCTTTGGTGAGAGAGAGATGGTGCAATGAAGACACATCTTTTGGTGACAGTGGACGGACATGTGGACTCAGCACTGACTCTCTCTTCTAGCACAGACCTTGGGGAAATGGACATCCAGCCATGCAGTGTCACAGCCCACCCTGGCACTTTCTCCTGCTACAGTCTCCTCACACCTCTCTTGCAAGCCCTTGCTCGTCCCCAGGTTCATGCCCTTTAGTTACTCTTCCACACTGCTGGATACTGTTCCCATCACCTGTCTTTCGGAAGAAGGTACCTGTGCTCACCTGGACCCTGCCTCATATCCTTGCTCCCCAACCCGTAGCAGCAACACAGCTTGATGCCCTGACTCCTAGTCTCCTCCTCCTGTGGCCAGGAATCCTGCTGCCTCTGGAGAATTGCTGAGAGCTGGGCCTCCTTTGTAGATGCAGGGGACCGGGAAAACGTAGACCCTCAGAGGACATAACAAGTCCGAGTGCATGGACTTTTTTATTGCCCCACAGTTGTAGATGGGGACCTAGCGTCTGGGCTTCTCGGTGCTGCTCCATCTGAGACTGGGAGGGCGTGGGTGCACACGTGTGACACGAGGCAGTGTGGCCCAGATTCCAAACCAAAGGCAGGGGCAAGTGAGCCTTGAGGCAGCTCTGCCCATGCAGGCTAGACTGGAGACTTGTGCCAATGCACTCGGCACAAGTCAGGCTGTCCATGTGGAGTTGTGAAGAGCTCCAGAGGCAGCCCTGTCTGTCATCTTAATGGAAGGCTTGTCCATGCTGGTGACAGTCCCCCAACAGTCTTTAACTCTGAAAGAAACAGAAGCTGAAACCAGAGCAAGTGGAAAATGAGACAGTGGTTCTTATTTTGCTGGAAGTCGCCCCTGGGAAGGAAGTTCCCTTTAAGTAGGCAGAGTGAGGTGGGAGATCTGCACAAGCCCTCGCTCACCCTGATGGCCCACTGGGCTGCTCTGGTTCAGAATAGACATAGGCCTTGGCAAGCAGGGGAGCGGGGAGCGGGGGGCCGGGGTGAGCTCCCCCCCCAGGACTGCGGGCTCCTCTGAGTGCACCAGGCAGCAGGAAGCTGCCAAGAGGGGTGCCAGCTGTGGTCTTCTGGGTTGAGGTCTTGTCCCTCCTACCTGCACCAAACTCATACCTCTCAGGGACCGGAGCAGCAGCCAGATTCTTCATGCCTTGCCAAGAGTGACATTCGGGAGAAGGTCTTGGCGCAGCTCTTACACTGGTATCTCTTGGTGTCAGAGTGTGTCTGCAGGTGGGCTCGGAGATTTGAGCGGTCGGCGAAGGCCCTGCTGCAGTGAGAGCAGGCATAGGGCTTCTCACCTGGGGAAGGGAGAGGGAAGGGTGTATGACTGTCTGGAGTGTGCTGGGAAGGTGGCCTCAGGGTTCAAGTGTCCCTGTTTATAACCCATCCCTCCCTCTCAATTCCCATTCGTCTATCATCATCACCCCCTCCCTAGGACACAAGTGATAGGGGCCTTGGAGCCCAGCCTGAGGAGGAGACTTTAAGGCCAAGAGGCCATACAAGCACCCAAGAGGGCAGGGTGGCATGACATACCTAACCCTTCCTGTGAGCAAAGGTCCAGTGCAGCTCTTTGCTACATCTACCACAGCTGCTGGATCTTTCTCCATTTCTGCAAGAGCTCTCCTGGGGCCCTTTGCCACCAAGATCTGGACGTGAGAAGCACGGACACCTTCAGGCACCTGTGCCTGTCCACTGAAAGCCAGTGGTGGGGACCGGCCAGGCTCCCACAGAAGGTGGGCTGGAAGGAGTGAGCCCTCCTTCTGTACAGAAGGGCATTTAGGAATAGCTAAAATCCTTGTGTCCTTCAGGCCACCTCTAGTCAGACCACCAGGGATTTGGACAAAGTGCTTCTGTTGGGACCTTGGCCCCAGGATGATTCTGACAACTATAAAAGGAAGGGTCACTGAGAGTCCTCTGTTCTCTGTCTGTGCAGAGTGGCTTCCAGTCCTGCAACCCTTTTGAGTCCTGAGAGACACCAGCCCGCAATCCCCACTGCACAACACCTAGGCGCACTCCCAGCCAGGCCAGTCTCCTGTGGGGACTGCCACACCCTGGCTCCCAGACCAGGAGCACTGAGCCTCTGATGAGGGGTGACATCCTTAGTGAAGGGTAGAAGAAAATGGCTCCTTTCCAGTAAAACCCTTCTTTCCAGTCTCTACCCACATGTGACTCAGAAGATTCTAGTCACAGAGCCGAGACTTAGGTTTAGGGAGGCCCTTGTTACAGAAAGTGTGTGTTGCAACTGTGGGTCTGTGACCAGGACCAAATACTTATTCTGGGACCTCTGCGTCTCCGTTCTTGTCTCCCGCTCTGCAAAGTGTGCTCGACAAAGTCCGGGGCTCCAGGAGAAGCCCCAGACTGAGGTCTACTTCAGCTACTGGCTGCCCCTGTACGGAGCAGGGGCCTTCCGCTCTCTCTGGGCCATATATTATAATACAGCATGAGAAGGCCAAGGTTTTTAGGCCTCCTTCAGCCACCTGTCCACATTCCTCTCCTTTCTCTGTTTCTATCTTTGTCTCCTCACCGTAGCTGCTCGTCTCTCCTTTGTTTCCTGTGGGCTCCTGGCCACCGTCTCACCCAGGGACAGGTTTGGTCCAGGGCCCCAACTTCTAAGTGAAGTTGCAGCTGTCATCTCTGCCCTTCAGATAAGCCATGACCCCTATAGTTCTTACCCCCAGCCCAGGCCTTTCTTGCTCCCCGGACTCCTCCTTCCAGAATTCTTGGAAGGCTGTGAAATGTGAAAAGTCAGATCCTGCTGAAATCCTGTGCATCCTACACTTTCCTGAGTGTTACGGGTTGAATTGTGTCCTCCAAAAAGGAGACATCCATGTCCTAAACACTAGTACCTGAAGATGTGACCTTATTTAGAAATAGGGGCTCTGCGGATACCATGAGGTTAAGATGAGGTCATGCTGCAGTTTGTGGGCCCTGATTCAATATGACTGGTGTCCTTATAACTAGAGGGAAATTTGGACACACCCAGAGGAGAGGCCATGTGAGGTTCGAAGCAGAGGTTGGAGCGATGTGGCCACAAGCCAAGGATGCCTGCAGCCTCCAGGAGCTGGAAGAGGCAGGAAGGATTCAACCCTGGGACACCTGGACTTTGGGCTTCTGGCCTCCAGACAGTGAGGGAGGACATTTCTGATGTTTTGAGACCCCCAGGTTGTGGGACTTTGTGTTGCAGCCCCAAGACATGGATGCACTGGAGAGCAAAAGCTGTGTGAATATCCATCCTCTTGTTCATAAAATCTCCCCTTCCCTCTTTCTAACTTCCAGGTCCCATTCTTGCCTCTACCCAGATCCCTCTTGTAGACCAGACGCTGTCCTACCTGTGTGGGTCCGAATGTGGCCCTGAAGCAGCCAGGGCCTAGAGAATGCCTTGCCGCAGATGGTGCAAATGCAGGGCAGCGTGTGCGTGCGGATGTGCATTTTGAGGGCTCCCAGGCTGGAGTACTCCTTGTCGCAGTACTTGCAGGTAAAGCAGCGCTGAGCCTGCAGGTGGCAGTGCAGCTGCTGGTGCCTGGCCAACCCAGCCAGTGTGTGGTAGGGCTTGTGGCAGTGGGTACACTGGAAGCCACCTGGGGAGCAGGAGGCCTTCTCAGCCCCCAGGAGTCTGTCTGGAGCCTGGTCCCCATCTGTGCCCAGTATTGGAGGCCACCGTGTGGGCAGAACCAGCAGTGGGGGCAGGTTGAGGTGGTTCAGGCTGTCCTTGAGGGGTATGCTGGGAGCCCGGCCAGCACGAGGGTCCATCAAGCTGACTTCCAAGGGATCTGGCTCAGAGGCCCTCTGAGCTTCTGGGAGGGGCAGGGAGATGCAGGTGATGCCAGAGATGTGGTCCCAGGGCTGGGCAAGGTCACCAGACATGGGAGGGGCTACTCTGTCTGGGAGGAGGAGGGGTACCACCAGCCCCCCACAGGCAGAACAGGAGCCATTGATTTCTAGAACAGCAGAAGG